TACTGTTGACGATTTTTAAGACTGTTTACACTGAATCTTATTAATGATTTTCTTATTTTTAAGGCCAATTTTTATAGAATTTTCTTTTTTAGTCTTGAGATTTCATTTTTCTGTTGATAACAAGTAAAAGCTAATAAACATGGGGATGGGGGAGGGCGAGGGAGGGATTCTTAAAGGGACTACCGAGTCCCGAGACATGTTGTGTTCATATTAAAGAGAATGTTAAAAAAAAACATCTGAGCAAATTTTTTTGATTAAAACTAATTAATAAATGTATACCAATAAAAACAAATCTTGTTGTTTAAGTCGAAGCTCGTCTTCTCCGTTTTCTTTGGTATTTTGAGTAAAATAAACGCGATTTTCCAGGCGCATTATACAGACTTGATAATTTATTCAAGCGCGTTTAATTCATAGAAGTTTTAGTGCATGACGTCATAGATTTTTTGTTTGTTTGTTTAAAACACCGATTGTTATTTTTTACATACAATTTCCAAATCATATTCATTTTTATTATATTTTAAAGTTCTAAAATGTGTTTGTAAAACAAAATTAAAAACAAAATAAAATTAAAAACAAAATAAAATTAAAAACAAAATAAAATTAAAAACGAAAATAAAATAAAAAACAAAATAGTTTTTTATTTGCGCAACTTTTTTTAAATAATCGTCTAGACCACGTGTATTTTGATTTCTTTTGTTATAAGTTTTTCTTTCAAAATATTAGATAAAATAATTTTTAACCTAAATAATAATGCATTTTTATTAATTTACTTTGTAAATATTAAAAAAAAAATTATTAACGCATTTTTTCTCTGATTTTCAAAAATGTATTTTTTGGTATTGAGGTGATCTTATTTAATTATTTATATTTCCATTATAACATCCAATATATATTATGGCAGGGGCTTAAAAATTAAAAAATTAATATATATTAATTTTTATTTTACAGACATATATGGAAACATAATTAACTTTAATGTTCTTAAAACATCTTGCGGAAGAATAAAAAGAATATTCGCGAACACTAAAAACCCGCCAAATTTGCGAACAAACTAATTCTATTGGTTAAAAAAACACGCTGACTAAGCGAAATAAAGTTCTAGAGAATTCTGTTGAAATGTTTTAGGAATCGTATTATTTATGATTTGTTGCGTTTTGAGATATCTAGCATAAATTTTTTTAAGAGTATATTATCAAATGAACTATTACTTTAATATTATGGCTCATTCTCGGAGCCACATCTGTAAAGCCATAAATCTTTTAAACTATTATCATTTGTTTACAAAAATAAATGTTTTATAATATATATTTTTTAAATTGTCAAAATTTTGAGAGTTAATTACAAATTATATATTTTATTAGTGTATTCTTAATTTTTATATCTTTTCTTAGTGCTTGGTTTAATTAATTGTTCATTAGATTTGTAAAAAACAATTAATAAAATAAACTTTTAATAAAATAAGTAACTATAGTTAGCTATTTAAGTAAAATTTAATAGTAAAATTTTTAAAGAATTTCTAGAATGTTGCTAATGACGCCATGCTCTAAAACTCTTATGAATTAAACGCACTTGAATAAATTATCAAGTCTGTATAATGCGCCTGGAAAATCGCGTTTATTTTACATACTCAAAATACCAAAGAAAACGGAGAAGACGAGCTTCGACTAAAACAACAAGATTTGTTTTTCTTGGTATACATTTATTAATTAGTTTTAATCAAAAAAAAATTGCTCAGACATTTTTTTTTTAACATTTTCTTTAATATGAACACAACATGTCTCGGGACTTGGTAGTCCCTTTAATAAGCTTAGGGTTGGTGAGAAAATTAATAAATACCCCCCTATCCCTTGTATTAAGGAAAATATAATATAATAATACTGAAAATTATTAAATATATTATACTTAATAATTTAAAGATTTAATAAACATTGTTTTTAGATTGCTGATCAGATTTTTTCTGAAAGTAGTGTGGGAGATGATGCCTATTTAAAAAATTGGCATTTAGCCGCGTGATGCTTACCTTTTATGGTCTTTATGTTCCTAGGTTTTAATCTGTAATAAATTTACTATTTAATTCTTTAAATAGTAAAGTTCAGGTAAGTTAAAAAATTCTCCCGATTTCAAAAAAAAAAAAAAAAAAAAAATGAAAGTACTTTAAAATATTTTTTTTTTGTATAAAAAAAAGTAAAATATTTAGTTTCAGTTGATGGCTTTATCACAAAAATATTCTTTTTGTGCTTTTAAAGTTTTAATAAACCCACAAGCAAAAATATTTATAAAGTGTATCTAGAAATTTCAACAATGCTAAAATTAGTTAAATCTTCTAATGTGTTTATAACTTGTTATTTGTAATGCTTAATCAGTATTTTTTTTTTACTATTACATCTATTTACTATTTACGCTCTACTTCAAATATTTATTTATACTTACATATGCTTATATATATTTACATATACTTATATATATTTTCATATACTCATATATGTCAAGATATTTATATATATATATAAAAAACAAAAAATTATAAATTATTAAGGAACCACACGTTAAAATGTTATGTCTTGTAAGGTTAAAAATGTTACTTTTTGTTGCGTAAAAATAACAAACATTTGATACATAATAATATGTAAAAATGTTACTCGCGTTATGTAAAAGTATGTACGTTATGTCTTGTTATGTAAACATGTTATGTAACAGTTTCATAACATTATGTCTTATTATGTAAAAATGTTTTGTCTTGTCATGTATGATTAGCGAACATTTTACATGTTTTTTAACCTGTTTTCCTTACGTAACGAAACTTAAAAATGTTATAGGGGTCTGTTTCTTTTTTTAATAAAAAAATCTAGAAAATAAATTAAGTTATTTTTTATGATCATCTCAAGCTATACTTTTAGCAATACTCTTTTAAAAATTGTTTCAAATGTTCAGCTGATTGAATTTGCTGATTTACAAATTGAGTCAATTCAGGATCATATGTCTTTGATAGGGTTAAAATCTGTTTAGGATTTGTTTACTACTGCCTTATAGGATTAGTTTATACGCAAAAACTAAGAAAACTCAACTCTGACTTAAAATATCTTGACACATTGGAGCTTTTGGTTGATTAAATGTTAGAAATGGTGTTTCATAAAAAATACTCATTTTGAGCAGATGTTAACTGCATCTGAAAGTGTCCTCGTTTGTGTTTTTGGTGAGCAACGCAGAGACCATGCAGCGTGGGCTTTGTTATGACTTTGGGTTGATAAGGAATGAGGCAACTGCACGATTTATTACTTAGGGTGGGCTTTGTTATGATTTTGGATTGATAAGGAATGAGGAACTGCAGGACTTATTACTTAGGGTGGGCTTTGTTATGACTTTGGATTGATAAGAAATGACGAAGCTGCACAGCTTATTACTTAGGATGGGCTTTCTTATGATTTTGGGTTGATAAGGAATGAGGAAATTGCACGGCCTATTACTTACATACACAATCTGTGATTAAGTTTTAGTTCTTACATTTTGCAAAGTTCATCAGATCTACTTGTTCTTTTTGAGACAATTTGAATGCAGCTGTTTCATCTTTGGATCTTGAAGTTGATGTCTATTATCCTTTGGTTCACAAAGATTCTAATGGTCACATGCTTGACCTGGGTATATACTTACCAATCATTAAATCAAGCCTCGTCCTTTCAACCTTTTAATTCAAGCCTCGTCTGTTCACTCTTTCAAATCAAATTTTCTTCTTTTTGTGCTGTTTCTAATCATAATCATTTTTATTCATCTTTTACACTATTTACATTTTTTACACTTTCTAAAGAACATCTGTTTTTTTATTCTCGCAATAAATCAATGTAAATACTGTCTAGATCTTAGCATCAGATACTGTCTGATGCTAAGGTCTATCGATGATGATGTCAGATGCTAAGGTCCATTATTTTCAGATTACTAAGAAGTTAGATTTTTGAGACTTTTCAAAAATCTTTAAAAAAATAATTAATAAATACAGGTCTAACATTCTCCATCTCTTACATGTGTCTAATTACCTCCAAGTATCTAACATGTATCTAATTGCCTCTACCAAGAATAAAGCAGAAACATTTTTTCTCTAATGTAAGTTTTCTCTAATGTATCTAAAGCAAAGAATTTTTTCTCTAATGTATCTTTTAAATATAATCATGCTGTTCTATTCTAAAGAAATAGGTCACTCCATTGTTAGACACTCAAACTACTGCTTCTGTTATAAAAGTTATTTCCCAATTAAAATTTTGTATAGCTTGAGAGACAACATTTCTGTCATATTCTTTTTTCATTACTCTCTAATCTATTTAAGAAGTGAATCTTTTTTTCCTTCTCCTAAAAAATGGCATTTGTGGTTTCAATTTATCGATCGCTCAGACCTTTTTTAACTATTTTCAGTCTTTTTACTATTATTAGCTAGGTCTTTGAATCTTTAATTTACAAACTTCTAATATCTTATCTTGAGACTAACTACTTACTCTTTGGCAATCAATATGAGTTTCAATTCTTTTATTCTTTTTTGGTTTTATATTACTTATAAAAAAAAGATTCTATTGTGGTTTAGATAGAATCCTTTTTTTATAAGTAATAACAAACCAAAAAAGAATAAAAGAATTTTTATAATATCCAGGTTTAGAAACAACAAGCCAAGGGCTATTGTTTCTTTAAATCTTTAACTAACTAACTTCTAATATCTCATCTTAAGTCTAACAACTTACTCTCTGACAATCGATATCAATTTTGATCTGCTTATTCTACATCTAACTTGTTAAACATTTTAACAGAAAATAACAAACAGAAATAATAAAACAAATAAACATAAAATGAAAGGGGTGAGTCAAAGTTTTACTAACATGTCTCTTTTCTTGCAAAAGTAAGCACTTTTTAGACATTTTAAAAAAAAAACTTTAATTCTGTTTCCATTTTTTAAGTATGTTAATACAAAAAAAAATTTATTTTCAGCTTTTAATTGCTTTGTATTTAAAATTTTCATGTAGGAAGTGATGCAATTGACACTGGCAAAAAAGAAACTCGTCAAATATCATACTCAACCAATGATCTTACAGACTTAAATCCATCAGATGTTAAGTTTGACCGGAATAGTGTTAATGAACAGTATGATGCTCTCAACAAATTAAATAAAGTTGAAAATAAGCAAGAAAATGTTAGAAATATTGCTAAAGAAACCAATTTAGTTGAAAGCAAACAAGAAGCAAAAAGTATAGAACAAAATACAGTTCAAAACAAACAAGAAGCCATTAAAGAAACAAATATTGTACTTGTGAATAGTTCTTTCAGAGAAAAAGTTCAAGAAATTCAAGTCTCTGATTTTGTAAATAATAAAATAAACAATGAGGATTTAAAAATTACTCCTTCAATTGAAAATTCCACAGGGAATCAAATATTGGTTGAGATTAATCAACCTGAGAGTATTACAGGTTTGTTTACATGGTTTAAAAGAATTTTTTAAATTATTATTTTATGTCTAATTTTTAATAATTCAAATCTTTTAAAATTATTCACAAAATAAGTTAGTAATTATTTTTTGCTTTTTAATACTATATTATTAAGTTAATCCATTCTGACATATTTGAATATAGATTTAGTTATTGACACTGAGAGGAAAGAAGTTACCCACAATGAATTAAAACTGCACAATAATCAGGAAACTCCACATGAAGAAATATCTCCAATGTAAAATGTTTTTTGTATTGTTTTTTTAACTTGAAGTGATTTAATAACATACATGAGCCAATTTTTGAAAAAATGAATTTTGTACAAAGGTAGTTTTAAAAATTAGTATCATTTACAAAGATGTATATGCATCAACAATTGTCAACATTTGATCTAAATGTTTACCATTTATATGGATTTTAATGTATGCACTTTTTCCAAATTAGTAAATATAGAATATTTTCGATGCTTTTTTTTAAAGTTAGTTGTCTAAGAAAACCAAATAAAAATAAAAAAAACTTTAAAAAAAAAAAAAAAACAACAACATAAAACAAAAAAAAAAATGTTTCAACAAATTCAGAAAATTCTTTTCATTAAGGTTTTTCCATCTTAAATTTAATTAAAAATGTGTTCACTAAAGAAAGAATCTAACAACTGTAGAAGTTAGATTGATGTAACTATATATATATATATATATATATATATATATATATATATATATATATATATATGTATATATATATATATATATATATATATATATATATATATATATATATATATATATATATATATATATATATATATATATATATGAATGAAAATTAACTGTTTCTTTATTAAGTAGCTCTTCAGCATTTTTATAAAACAAAACTATCAGTTTTTCATCTGAACAAAGTAAAATTTTTTTTGTTGTGTTGTTGTAAGCAGGGGCTCTTTTTAGGATAGACCAAGATAATTCAGGTGTTTCTTTGATTTTTTCATTAGTTTCCCATATATTTCCAAATGTTGTCATGAAAATAAATTTCTATTAAGCAGCCACAAACCTAAAGCAACCACAAAACTGCTTGTAACAATAGGTTTTTTTTTGTTTTTTCTGTATAGTTTTATGTAACTAATTCCAATTGTATATAATTTTTTTACAGAAAAAACTATATTTGTATTTCACCTAATGATTAGCATGAAACTCAAAGTTGTGAAAATCAAGTAGTTTTGTTTTCTACTATATTATAGCTTTGACTCAGCTCATCGAGCACTTTCTTGATAGTATATCTACTTCAAAACAGACTCACTACAAACATATATATATAATAAATATATATGTTTGCAGTGATTCTGTTTCGAATATGTATATATATATATATATATATATATATATATATATATATATATATATATATATATATATATATATATGTATATATATATATATATATATATATATATATATATATATATATATATATATATATCCTTGAATAGTTGTTAAAAGAGATTTTAATGGTAAAAAAAAAAAGTCTCTTTCAACGCTTTTTTTTAACATTTAAACAATATCAACAATTAAGCGACATTTTAATGTTGCTTAAAAGTTAAAATAATTTAAAAAATGTCAATGTACATTAAGTTTTATTGTTTTATAAAAAACTGCAATAATTATGATTAGAAAGTTTTTTTATTTAATGTTGTTTTTGTTTTTGTTTTTTTTATTGTTTATAATATTTTGAAAACATTCGAGGAGTGTTGCTACATCAACTGACAAAAAGGTAAAACATGCGATGAGTGTTGCTTTTTTACTGTAAAATATGTACAGAGTGTTGCTACATCGACTATCTTATAGCCTTCTGCTACAAGGGAGTGCTCCTTCATCGACTATCTTATAGTCTGCTGCTACAAGGATGTGCTGCTGCATTGACTATTTTATAGCCTGCTGCTACAAGGATGTGCTGCTGCATTGACTAAGGGTTTGGTTTGGGCAAGTAATCTGTCATTTAAAAAAAAAAATTTTCTGGTCTAGTTTATTAGCGTTCGATATAAAACAACAGTTTATAGAAGAAACTTTTCAACTACCATGCATAGCATAATTGATAGTTTTCTGTACTTTTTTACTTGGCTTTTTTACTTTAAAATGGCAACATAAATACGTTTTTATTATTGCTAATTTAACTTGCAGTCAGTTTGTTAAATTATATACATTTAGATTTGTTCAGAACCTTTTCTCTTTTTTGTGTAATAAACAAATTTTAAAATGTCTACAAATAAGTATGTTTTATAAAAAATAGTTATACAATGATCAATTAAACCTTTTTGTTAATTGTGTATTTTGACTGTGAAGAAAAATGCAAGACTGTTAAGTGTAACTATTACTTTAATAAAATTAATAAATTTCTAATATTAATCTAATTAAAGAGAGGCTTTTACATCACATATGAGATACAAAAAGCCAAAGAAAGATAAAAACCTAAGAAAACCCTATTAACTAACCATCATATTGTTTGTATAACTTCCAAGTTCAACAGAAACCTTTTCTAAAGCTAAATCACAATCAAATCAAAAACAATCAAATGTTCATTGATTTGTTGACACTTGAAGCTGAAATATGCTGAGTTTTGAATACCGTTTATTTTAGTAATAATTTTATTGATATTTTATCTGGATAGAAAATTGTGTGATTTCACATACCCAAATTTTTATTTGACTTGTTTACCATTATTTCAAAGCGTTTTCCCATTATAAATTGTTTATAAATAAACATCTATGTCTCCTTCTGATGATATTACTACTAGTTCATGTTAGTTAATCTCTGTTTCTGTAGCATTGCATTTGTCATTCTGGTTCATATTATTCCAAATTTATAATTATTCTAATTATTAATGTTCTAATTATTTAGGTTCAAATTATTCAAAAACAATTCACTATTTATTAAAGCTTTTCACCATTTCTACCACTTGTTTCAAAGTTTTTTTGCAAAACTCTACTTTAAAACTAGTGATTAAAGATCATACAGAGTGGTTTAGCTAAACTATCAGCACTTTTTTCTAAAAACATTGAATGAACTTTATTAGTCCCTGGAGGCATATTTAAATTAAATTATTAACTAAAAAATATCTTTCTCAGTAAAGAATAGGTCAAGTCAAAATTAGCTTTTGTTTATAAATACAGAATTGACTAATCTATTTAACTGATTAAAATAACTTGACTGTCATTTGATATTTTATTGTATTTAGCTTTTTTTTTTCACATATTTTTATTAGAATCTTTACAAGTTTTTTGACTAATTTTTTTTTTAAACTATATTCTTCCTTTAGATCTAAATTTTTGATATCATAGGTTACGCCTAATTTGAATTTCTTGTTTGAGTTCTTCATTCATCCATAAGGATCTTTTAGTTGCTTTTTGATTGAATAATGATCAAGATAAAATCAGAGAGAAGCTATGAACACTAAATCTAATATGCTTTTTAATTCTGTGCCATTTAGATGTTTTCTACCTGTTGTGTCATATTCTTGAATACATTCCAAAAATTATCACTCTTTTTTGTTCAATGTATTCTTTCATAACTAAAGTTCCATTTACTATTCAAGGATGGAATGTTGACTACATATCAAATGAATGGTCATATTAAAACATAAGTATTTAAGTAAAGCATAAGTATTTTAATTTTTGAAAATACTTATAACTTTTGTTGATAGCTCTTCATAGTTTTTCAAATACTTTTTTTTTATTTTATTTTTTATCTATTATAGCTGCTTGTATCTGTTTGACTCTTATTCTTAACTATTAAATTTTTTTATTTTATTTTACCTCTCCTTGTCTTAAATAATTATATATATATATATATATATATATATATATATATATATATATATATATATATATATATATATATATATATATATATATATATATATATATATATATATATATATATATATATATATAGTTTTGCATTTTGCATCTTGATTTAATCATTACCCCATTATTATTCATTGCAACTTATGTTGTAAATTATTTTTTTAATTAATTATTATTTCATTTATGTTTTGAATAGGTGTGTTTATTTATTTACCTTTTAATTGCTTTATAGATCATCACCTGAAGAAGAAATGACTATTGGGTTTAAAGTTGACACAAAAGAAATAACTAGTGGTTTTTATCAAAGAGACATTCCAGTTTTAGAAATAAATTCATGTAAGATATTTCCTTTAGTTTGTTAAAAACTTTTTTAAAAACTAGTGTGTGTATGTATGAATGTATGTATGTATGTATGTATGTATGTATGTATGTATGTATGTATGTATGTATGTATGTATGTATGTATGTATGTATGTATGTATGTATGTATGTATGTATGTATGTATGTATGTATGTATGTATGTATTTATATATGTATGTATGTATGTATGTATGTATGTATGTATGTATGTATGTATGTATGTATGTATGTATGTATGTATGTATGTATTTATATATGTATGTATGTATAAATGTATGTATGTATGTATTTATGTATGTATTTATATATATATCAGGCTTGGTCGGGAAGCGGGAACGATCGCTCTCGAATACTGACCACGGAAATTATATTTAGTTGCGAAAAACTAGCCAGGTTTTTTAGTCGTTTTGAGAACATTTAAGTTTATATAGAAACAAAAAGTTTTTGTTTTACGGGCATACATGGAAACATAAAAAACTTGAATGTTCTCAAAACATTTTGGTGCGGAAGAATAAAAAGAATATTCACGAACACTAAAAACCCACCAAATTAACGAACAAACTAATTCTAATGGTTCAAAAAATACGCTGACTAAGCGAAATAAAGTATTCTGTTGAAATGTTTTACAAATTGTATTATCCACGATTTGTTGTTTTGAGATTTCTAGGATTAATTGTTTTAAGAATATATTATCAATACTATAGCTCATTCTCGGAGCCACATCTGCAAAGCCGTAAATCTTATAAATATTATTATTTGTTTACAAATATAAATGTTATATATATATATATATATATATATATATATATATATATATATATATATATATATATATATATATATATATATATATGTAAATTGTCAAAATTTTAATAGTTTATTATAACTTTTAGACTTTATTAGTATATTCTTATTTTTTATTTAAAGAGTATGTATTTTTTAGGTAAATGTAATTTTGTGTATCTAAATTTTTATCGTAATGTAATCTTTTAAAGCAATTTTTATGATTTATTTGTAAACAAAATAATTGTGTTTTCAATGAAGTTATTAATAATCATTAAAGTTAATAATCATTAAAGTTAAAAACTAATTATGTAACAAACATATAAGAAGTTTCTGGTTACTAAGCACAAACAATGCATACAAAGTAACTCGCGGATGAATAAGGACCGCGTCTGAGGTCACGACAGAACACAAATATATATAGCAAGTTATTAGATATAAAGAAAAGTTTCTAGATATTGGTTTACTAACTCTAATTATTTTTGCTTAAGTTGCCATTCTTAAAAACTCGTTATACTTTTTTCTGCTTTAAATACTAATTAAAATTAAAAAGCCCACTCACTAAACATCATGAATGATATTGTGAAGCAGTTTCGTTTCCTTGTGATAAAGTATTTTTAACCTTTTTAGTTGATTTCTGTCTTGTTAATTTAATTTCTATAATAAATTAAATGATTTAATTATTTCATTTGTTTTTATTTGTTTTTAGATTTGTTCATCTTACTAAGAAGAATTGTTTCAAATATGTTAAACTTTTCAAACTACGCGAAACATAAAATAAATATTGAAAAAATTAACTTTTTTATTTATAAAATAATTTAGCTTAAATAAAACTAAAACTTGCAAACTTTGTTAAATAAAGAACATTTGTTTCCTTTTTAAACAATCATAAGATGTTACTTTATATAAATAACGTCGCTTAATTTTATAGAAAAATTATAAAGGAGCAATGTTTCGAAAATATTTGTTCTAAACGTTATTTATTTTGCTTTAAGTTTTTTCACATTATTTTATTTTCCTAATTTTTCTTGCTTTATGAAATGTTCTCAAAACGGCTAAAAAATCTGGCCAGCTTTTCGCAACTAAATACTATTTCCGTGGTCAGCAATCGAGAGCGATTGCTGCTGCTTCCTGACCAAGCCTGATATATATCACGCCTTCTCAGGAAACGCGTGTCGTCACAAACATTATGTGACCATACAATTTTTTTTTAACAACTTGGTCATGGTTTTTGTCATATATTGATAAAACTAAACTAATTTAAAAAGAAAATTAAAAATAAATAAACCATAAACTGAAAAAAGAAAAAAACTGAACAAATGATAAAATAAAGAAAGAATAAACCAGAGTAAATAAAAGTATAAAACTTTTTAATTTAAAATTATCTCAATTAATAATTTAAATTTAATTAGTTTAAGTGTTTGAATTTCAAAGCTAATAATATTGCCACGTTGATCTAGCACATAGCAGGCCTCGGAGGGAACTCCCCTAAAGTGATTTACGAAAGCAATTTACGGTTCTTGCAAAAGTATAATTTTTTCATAAATAAAAACCACTTTATATTTAGATATTATTTGGAAATGTTAAAATTTTTTAGTGCGAACATCAAATAAGACAAAGTTCCATTTTCAGATTATTATTTTTTTTTTGACTACAAAATTTGATTAATAAATAAATAAAAATAATAAAATGAAATAAAATAATAAATAAATAGCTAGTGTGAAAACCTAAAAAAAACGCTCACCTAAAAAACATTTTCATGGTACAATAAATGAGGCTTGTTTTGTATATATTCTGTTAACATTAACATTACAAGCAAATGCTTGTAACAAGAGTAAAATTAAATTTTATATTTAATAAGCAATTTATTTAATAAATAAACAGATAGCTCGCCCGATAACCAAAAGCTCTCGTAAAAAGTTGTTTAGAGGAGCAGCTCGCATTGTTTGCCATGTTGTTTTTTTTTTTTTTTGAGAACTTTTTTTTGCTCCCGTACTCATTCCCGCCGAGGCCTGCACATAGGTTGATTAATTGTATCATTTGTGAGGCACATATATACATATATTGGCATTGGACAAAGGTTCAAATCCTACCAACGCACAGTGGGCCAAGATTGACATAAAATGGACAAAAAATCATAACTCCTTTATTTTTAAAGTTGTCAAATTGAAATTTTTATCAGTGTCTCTAGTCATCATGAAGATCTTGTTTTTTAAAAAAATAGTTTTTTTTTTTTTTGCAGATGCAGAACTTAAACACTGTAATTGAAAAGGGTGTATAGGGCGTTAAGGATTTTACACCTAACTTTTGGTTGTTTTTAGGAACAGTTTTTCCCAGATTCAAAGCATTAATTGATTAGAATATTTGTTTCGTGTTAGAACCCTTTCTAACAAAGAAACATTTATTTTATTTATTTTATCAGAAATCAGAGTAATAATATACAAAATATAAAATTAAGTAAAAGTTACAATAAAAGTTTAATACAATCTTTGTTAAGTTCATGTTCTTTAGTACATCTCGAACTCTTTCTTAGAGAGCTAATAATTGGATCTGAACGGCATAATAATCTTTGCATATCATTTTCATTAGTGACTTTTCTTAAATATTTTCTTGTATAGTGTTCTCTATAATTTTTATTCTATACGTCTTTATTTCGACATTCCTGAGCTTCCTAAGAAAGAAGACCTACTGCTACTGGTTTATCTTTTAGAACTTGAAAACTATGAATAAGAATTTTATGTATAATTTGAGGCATTAGGAATCATGGGTACAGAGAAATGTAAAGCTCTGCTGTTTCTTTGGTATATTTTTCAAGTTCATCAACATTAATTTGATGTTTCCACGATTAAAAAAAAAAGAATTCATAGAATGGTTTCAAGCCAAGTATTTCAGCAGACACCTTATAGTTTTGAAACTTTTTGTGCCGTGTTTCCATCATTTGTTATACCTGAACTGCTTTATAAACTTTATATGAAGGCAGTATTCAAAGCATCTAATCCATGCATATAATGTGCTCAATCCAAGCTCAGTGGAAACTGTGTTAGAGAATTTTGAAAAAGAGATATTTGAAAGGGTCAGTCCGCAAATACTGTAGTATTTATGGACTGACCCTTTCAAATATGAAGATTCTAAATGTTACATACTTCGCCTTTAAGAATTACTTAAAGGCGAAACTATAGTAGCCACTTTTCCATCAATCAAACGATGTACAAAGTGCATTCTTACGTTTAATTATAAAGGAATTAAAGACCAACGGTTTCAAAATACTTGAAGGACACATATTCTTATGTAATAACCTCAGCTCTTTCTTTTACATACTAAAATCATACTAGATGGCAGTAAAGTGTAGAGGATGGTTTTTCATTAGTCCATAGTGATTCACCAGATTTTTCTGGTCAAGTTTAATTGGAAAGATGAAATAAAGGTTGTTCTTCAACATAACTGATACTTATCTTGTCTTCTGTACTTTGTTTGCATAATAATTGTCCGGTTGAACCATCAAATCTTACTTTGTGTATAAAACAAGAATGGATTTCTCAGGAGCCTTTACAGATTCATTGAGTATTTTTTAACAACCTGTATGTAGTATGTTCAATAAAGCTCTGTAAATCAACTGAAGCTGAATAATCAGTTGTTTGTATTCCACAATGAGGTATGCCTAAATCTTTGTTGGATACAATTTGTTTCCTTTAAAAACTGCTCCAATACGAATTGTTTGGTAATCTGCTTTTACTAAGTCAGCAGTCCAAAATCAAAGCTAATGCTTCCTCTCCAGTATACATTGTTGTTGAATTAACTGCACCATCTTTCTCTGATTTTAATATTTGCTTCACAACCTTAAGTGTAAAAATGTAAATTGGAAGAGTTAGATAAATACAATCCACTAAAAAAATTTATCACCCGTAGTATTTTGGACATTTTTTTTTAATAAATAAAAATGGCTATGATAATGTAAATGATAATGTACTTTAACATCATTGAATCTCTTTTCCTCTTTTAGTTTCAAAATACGTGAATAAAATTATCCTCTCTTTTGAAAGCAATCTCTTTTCTGCTTTTAGAAGAATTTTTAAAACCCAATGCTTTTAAAACACAAGTTTTGCAATCAATTTTTTCTGATATTACTATTTTATTTTATTAAGCCATTGTGGTTAAATTTATTTTTCATGAAGTTTTGCTAATCGCATATAAA